TCTGTTTGTAGAGATGCAGATCTTCTTACATCTCAGGCTGGTCTCGTGGGTGCTCAGAGTGGTCTGGTAGATATCCAGCTCAATTCCGGGGACCGGTTGAAATAGGGTCCCCTACTCCTCCGCCATCTTTCCCCCCTCCCTAAGTTTCAGCTTCTTGATCAACAAAATGGAAATAATACTTCTACCTCATAAGGAGAGGCTAAAATGAGTTCAAATGTGAAAAGCACTTAGAATAGTGCCTGGCACATCAAAAGCACTCTGCAAGTATTGACTGCTATTCTTATTATTTTCAAAATTTTCTAAAATGCATATTTATGGCATTTGTAGTAAGAGAAAAGTCAATCTGTTGTAATGTTTAGAGAGGTGATGTCATCTCATCCTAGAAAATCTAAGAGCATCTACCCTTCTGTTGGTGACAAGGGGCTCTGACCCCCAGCATGGAGCAATGGACAGCTCCAGTCACTGCCTGTGGTTTTTTTTTTTTTTTTTTAATATTTTATTTATTTGACAGAGAGAGACATAGTGAGAGAGGTAACACAAGCAGGGGGAGTGGGCAAGGGAGAAGCAGTCTTCCTGCGGAGCAGGGAGCCCAATGCGGGGCTCGATCCCAGGACCCTGGGATCGTGACCTAAGCCGAAGGCAGACGCTTAACGACTGAGCCACCCAGGCGCCCCAACTGCCTGTCTTTATGTACAACTTCCTGCTCTATGTCCCACTTACAGGTCCCAGGGAACCTCAAAATCAGAATGTCCCAAGCAGAACTGATCATGTACTCCATACCCTTTGGCAGAACAGGCCACCAGAACCTTTGGTCCACGCCCCCACTGTAACATTTATTATGCTGTCCCCCCACCAGCTGGTGAGAGTCTTGCTTCCCGGTCCTGCACCTCCAAAACCACTCTTGAATGAATGAATGAATGAATGAATGAATGACTCTATTCTCTATTTTCCCCCATCAAAGCAGTCCCCAGCCTAATGCATAGCTATCCAAGCTGAGAGCATGTATGGATGGTCTTAGTTACCTCCCCGTATGCAATGGTGTTATTGTATCTTCTCATTTCTGGGTACACGTGGTCCAGGTACCACTGGAAATTCTTACACTTTAAACTTTTCCTCAAGGCTCTTCTTTCAGAGACATCGCCTATATCAATTCCCGGATTCTGAAAGTAGAGAGAAGCAAGGGGCGTTTGTGACGGGGGAATCCCGGCCAGAGGAGAGGATAGGTGGCCTTTAAAGAAAGCATCAGGGAGAAACCTCAAGTCCTGCACGCTTGCTTAGAAAGTAGGTTTAAGGGGACTCACTTGATCATAGAGCCCCAAGCTAGACCACTGTCCCCTGAGTGCAACTCACAGCCCCCAAAGTCAACTATCCTTGTCACCACACGAAAGGGACCCTGGGACACACAGATATTGACAACCTTTGTACCCAGCTCCATCTCTCCCGCACATCCTCAGCAACTCTCAGAGCCAATTATTAGAGGAATTATTTGATTAAGACAAGGAAATAAATGCCTATAACCACCTCCTGTCTTTCTGCTCCCTACAAGTGTGATTTCCCCCTTTGTTGGCTCTTTGTGAAGTTCATTATACACAGAAGTGAAAATAATTTTCCATGGCAAAGCTTGTAATGATGTTCTAATGAATAATTCACTCTGCTTTTACAGAAATGAACCTGTAATGGGCTGCCGTGTGCTGACAGGGGAAAATAGAGTAGCTGAAATATGACTCCACAGACTCTGCTACGAGATGGCTGTGGTCCAGGAGGGATGGGGTGCCGTCTCTACAATGGCAGGCAGCCAGGCAGCAACTTGGGGGCCAGGGAGAGTTCACATTATTCCATTAAGATTTCTTCTTTCAACAGCCAAATGGTGATTTTAAAGGAAAATCCCCTTAAATGTAAAACTTTTAAGACCCAAAGGCACACCTGGACAGTGATATCTTAACTCTTGGTTTTAACATGCTTAAGCATAATGAAAGAGAATGGCCATTGTCGAAAAGCCCAGGAGGGTACTGCTGGCATCAGGGACCAGAGGTTGTCTGGAGAAAGCACTGGGACAGAGCCAGCAGCCTTGAACTCTTATTGTTACTCTGAGTAACAATGCCATTGTAGGTCACAACTTCTCACCCACAAGCAGGAATGACAATCCCGATTGTGCTGATGTCCACAGGGCTGTGGGGAGAGTCGAATAAAGATGTGAGTTCGCATCCCTGCCCTGCCATATGCTATGGGTAGGACGTTAAGCAAGTCATGTTTAACTTCCCAGAGCTTCAGTTTGCCCATCTGTAAAATGGACTGCACATAGGTCCAGGTCAAGCTAGCATTTATTGATCCCTTAATATTTGCTATGCTCTGTTCTAAGCCTTATATTTATCTTCATGAGAATGAAGAAGTGCTCAAAGTTAACAATCCCTGTTTTACAGATGATGAAACTGAGGCATAGAAAACTCCGTCAGGAGGTTGTTATGGGTGCTAAATGAGATATTGCAAATAAGGAACTTACCAAGCACCAGGGACATAGCAAGGGCTCAGCAAGTGTTACCTATGTTTATATAAATAATCATGTGTAGAATCACTTCTGGCTTAACACCTATAAAGTGTTATACAGCAGTAAGGGACTATCAATGCTTTAGAACATTATTTCAATAGCTGTAACGATATGATAAACATTCTTCACTTTTATCCTCTTCATCTATAATTCTTACACATATTCAACTGTATTTCTGCTGCTCTGGGCTTCAGCCTCCTGAAACGCAGGGGCTGCCAATTCTCAGTGGGAACAATTCCAGGCAACTCTCTCAGGGCATGGCTGAGGGTGCTGGTCAGCCCACTGTGCTACGGACCTAAGTACCTATAATGAGCATTTCAGGACTCAGAACTTAAACTGAGTACTCTAGTACTTAGATTGGGTACCTTAGTGCTTACTACTTAAGCAAGTACTTTAGATTTAGTTTTCCCAATCACCCTAGGAAAGAGGACTTGCTATTATCGCTATTTTTAGGTGAGGAACCTAAGGAACAAAGGCGATAAATGGATTTGTTCAAGATTGCATAACTAGTAAGTGGTAGAGCAGGATTCCAACCAAGCTAGTGTACAGCCACCATGCAATACTCCTGTGGGGCTTCAGTATTCTGGGCAGGATATGGAGGAGACTTGAAGAGTCATGTAAACAGTAGGGGCATATGTCTTGGGGGCAGCTGGAGCTTCAGGGGAGGGCACAAAGTCAGAGCAAATGATGGGGGCCTGTACCAAAACCATTGGTCGAGAATCTCCTGGATACAATGCTTGTTCAGGAGCAGGGCATCCAGATTACTAGAACATGACTGGGATTAACACAACAAGATCCTCTACTCTTTGTAAATGAATTTTGAGCTCCCCACTGCGCCAGTCCCCATGTAAAGTAGGGGTTCTACCACCTGGAGGTCTGTGAAACCCCTCAAAACGCTCTTATAATTTTTGCAAGTGTAAGCATCTTTCTGGGGAGGAACTGTCAACTGATTAAAGGGATCAGTGACCCATCAAACCCAGGACCACTCGTCCAGGGCGATGGGGAAGGCTGCACCCCTTACCTCTAGTGGCAGGTTCCACGCTATGTACACATGAGACTTGTAATCATCCATCCAGACCTCCGCAACCCGGAGGGCGTTCCTCTTGGTGTAGAAACCAATGTTGCTGTTGTAAGGCTTCTTCTTCCGCTCGATGTGGGCCACTCGTGAGCAAGGCAGGACCTCCATGCTGCCCCCGCAGAGCCACACCTGGAGGCACAAGGACTTTATCAGCTGGACGGAGAAATTCTTAGAGGCCACTGACCCTCCCCAAGGCCCCAAGGCAATGGTCAGGAGACTTATCATGAGTGAGAAATACATTCTAATGTATTTCAGGGTTTGTCTGTGACTACAGTGTAGATTAACCTAAACTAGATGAAAGGTGTCAAAGAATTTTTATAGATATAACAGTTTAGGATGTTAAAATAGAGCTCTGGGTAACAGAAGCCCATTAACCTAAGGTACCCCTGGAGATGCACGGGTTTTCTTAAGTTCTCAGTAGTGAACAATTGGCACCCATGGAGGTTTTCTTTTCCACCTGCCGAAGCTATGCCTTACAGACCTAGAACAGAAAATTCAAACTGAAAAACAACCCATCTTTATTCATATCAGCACAAAGTATACAACGGTCTACTTATGCATTGTTAATAGACTCTATTTTGGAGTCCTAAGAGCACAGATGCCCAGCCTTCTGGAAGCATTTGCCCCAGTGTTATCACGTACAGGCATCACTTGCTATTGTTGGAATATTCAGGTGGAAGGCTGAAATGGCAGTTGCCTTGAGGGATGCCAAAGCCCAAGGAAGTGACACTTGCCAGTCTCTGCATGGGCATGGCAGGCATCCAGGCTCAGAAGGCCCTGCTTGCAGGAGAAAGCTGAACTATCCAATTTCTCTCAGTCCCAGGCAGGAAAAATAAAGCATTTCTGATTGTCAAGGACTACTTTGTGGAAATAAACTTCCTGGTCCTGGTGGGGAGAGAGGACACAGAGAGGTTTCAGGGACCTATGCTACTGTCCTGCCATGAGGATCCTGTACATTCTCCATAAATGAAAGTGTGCTGGTGAGCTGACCTAGTCAGCAAAGACAACGTTGCTTGTCCCGACCTGAGATACTTCAAGCCACCTCTACCTTTAGTCTCCCAGATCCCCTCCTCCAGGATACTGGGACCTTCTTGTAAGTTTCCACATGTGTGTGATCTTCTGTTTCTATTTCCCAACTCTGGCTGCACCACAGGGAAATGATACAGATCGAAAATTCTCCCCATAACCATGAATCCTCATCTTCAAGGAGGAGACTGTGAGCTAAGAGATTGGTAGACAGTGGGTGGTCCAGAGTAGTTTGATTTGGGACCTGACAATTAGGTGCCCCCACGGGTTGGCATGGCAGTTGCTGACAGTGGAAGGAAGCCAAGTCAGGGAGGCAAATATGGCTAAAGGCCTATGGGGTATAGGGGTAAGAGACCTTACAGGGCAAAACACGGTGGCTGAATTTCCAGGGGTGGGCAATATGCAAAGATACAGAGTTGCACAGGTATGCAGCACTGGGCAGTTTCAAGATTCAGGGAATGAATGGAAAGACATCCCATGTTCATGGATTTGAAGACCTAATATTGTTAAGATGGTAATACTTCCCAAATTGATTTAAAGACTCAACACAATGCCCATCAAAACTCCAAATGGCTTCTTTGCGGAAATTAACAAACTGAACCTAAAATCCATGTGGAAATACAAGGGACTCAAAAAACCTTGAAAAGAACGAAGCTGGAAGACTTCCACTTCTGATCTCAAAATGTACCACAAAGCTACTATAATCAAGACAGTGTGGTGCAGGCATAAGGACAGACAATAGGATAGAATCGAGTCTAGAAATAAACCCTCACATTTATAACTGACTGACTTTCAACAACGGTGCCAAGACAATTCAATGGGGGAAAATAGTCTTTTCAACAAACTGTGCCAGACAGCATGCCAAGGAAAGGATTTTTACCACCCATCTCACAACATATACAAAAATTAACTTGAAGTGGATCAAAGACCTAAATGTAAGAGCTAAAACTGTAGAACTCTTAGAAGAAAACATAAGGGCAAATTTTCATGACCTACAATTAGGCAAATGTTCATTAACTGATGAATAGATAAACAAAAATGGTATATCCATACAATGGAATATTACTTAGCAATAAAATAAATAAAACACTGACACATGCTACACTATGGATGAACCCTGAAAACATTATGCTAAGGGAAAGGGGCCAGTCACAAAGGACAGTATATTACATGATCCCATTTATATGAAATGTCCAGTATAAGAAAATCCATAGAGACAGAAAGAAAACTGATGGTTGCCTCAGGTTGGAGGAAGGTAGAGTGGCCAGTGCCAGTGGGTATGGGGTTTCCTTTTAGGGTGATAAAAATGTTCTGATATTGATTGAGGTGATCACTGAACAACTCTTTAAATATACTAAAAACACTGAGTTGTATACTTTAAGTGGGTGAATCGTAATGGTATGTGAATAGCTCAACAAAGCTATGACAAAAATAAATAGGTAGATGGATAGATAATTCCACAGAGAGACAGGGAAAAGAAGATTCAAGGGATAGATTCCAGTTTGGGGAGCTAAGGAGAAGTGATGCAGGCCAAAGCCGAGTTCTGTGAAGACCAGTTTCTGAGCAGGGATCACAGGTGCAGGCGTATGAAGGGCCTTAGCAAAAGCCAGAAACCCAGTCACAAGAATGGAGATGCCAGGTGGAAACAGAACCCACAGGCAGGCCAACTTGGTGCCAGTCTTCTGTAAGCAGTCCAGACCAAGGTCAGGATAGTCCAAATTATTCCAGATTGTCCTAGGGGCTGCGACTAGGCTCACAAGGGGTGTCAGGTGGTCTTCCTTGCTATGGGTGGGCTGAGAGAACAGAGGGGCCAGGTCAGACCCCAAGCTTCTTGAACAAGAGTGGGAGATGGTATGCCAGGCTGGGAGGCAGGCAGCACAGCACGTCTGTCCTGTGTGACAGGGACACTGACTTCCTGTCCTGGGCTCTGCCATGTGGACACAAGTTGGCACACTCAGTGGACACCAACTCAGAGCCACTTAGCTCTTCCTGTATGGTCTGGGGAGAGGCAAGGGGCTGTCAGACTGTTTAGTGTCTTGATGGTACAGCCCTCTGCTGGACCCAGCAAACCTAGAGTGAATCACCAGGGTTGGACGCTGGCCCAGATGATGGTAACATCATCACAGACCCCTTCTGCCTGCAACACATTCCTGTTACCATCCTGTGCCTGCCTGGCCTTGGTATACACCTCAGCCTGTCACCTCCAGTGACTTAGACTGGTTTTAGGGTCATAAGCATGAACAACCAGCAGCCGCACATCTTGTAGGAGACCGAAAATGACATCACTGAAACACTCACTGCAAGGTACTCTGGAAGTATCAGACAGAAGAGGTGATTCAAAGTGAAAGAAAGAAAGAGAGAGAGAGAGAGAGAGAGAGATGGAAGGAAAAAGGAAAGGGAAGGGAAGGGAAAGGAAAGGAAAGGAAGAAAAGGGAAGGAAGAAAAGAAAGGAGTGAGGGAGGGAATGAGGGAGGGGAGGGAGGGAGGGAGGAAGGAAAAACAGAGAAGAAGGAGGAGACACATAAATACCCGGTAGGTGTGGGAAGCAAGGTAAGCCCAGTCCCTTGGGCCCTGAGGGACAGCCCCAGCCCTGGAGTAGGTCCTGGGAGCTCCCCTCTGCTCTACCCTTACCCCATCCTCCACTTCTGCAAACCCTCCCCTCCAGAGGTGAGTGTCTTCACTCTGCCTGCTCCAGAACCTAGGACCAGCCAAATCCTTACAACCAAGCACCAAACATCCAGTACCTCATGAAATCCTCATAGATGAGGAAAACTGAGGACTCAAGAGGTTGATTAAGTTGTTTACAATCCACAGTCAGTAAGTGCGGGATCCACAACCACAACCCAACCCCATGCCATACCAGCATGCCAGCCCTTACTTGGTGGGCACCGCAGCTTGACCCCACCAATGCAGGGGGAGCTGACCTGTGGCCATGAGTCCTCCAGCATTTCCTCAGCCACAGCTTGCACCTCTGACCTGCACTGTAGCCAGGGTGAGTGAGGGGGGCAGGATGGCACCAACGATACCCTCAAGGTTAGGGGTGTCATTGTGAGGGGGGTCAAGGTTAGCCTCCTGCCACCCAAAGCCATCTGGTGGTGTGGCACTGCAAGGGGAACTGGAAGGAGCCAGTGAGTTGAGTGATTCTCAATTCTCGGGAGGCTCTGCTCCAAGTTGGCAAGAGTGGTCACATCAGAGCTCATGGGTTGGCCCTAAGTGTTGATAACTTGATGTGGAGTGTGCCCATGGTCAATGACTGAGTGTAGACAGTAGAAGGGAAGCTTTTCAAGAAAGTGGACTGAATACTTTAGACAAAGACCAACAGCGTGAGCTAAGGCAGCTGCCGAGGTCTATTCCAGAGGACTGCTATTCACCTAGCCTCCTTGAGAGGTATGAAATCAAAAGGGTAGCTCCCTAAGCAGGGAGTGATCTAGTTTATCCTTCTCCCAGACATAACCACTAGGTACATGCGTCCCAAGTACAGCTGATCCCAAGGAAGGATGACCATTACTATTTATCAGCCCAAATGATGAGTCCTACAAAGACTGGAAGAAATGATACCAAAGGGAAATGAGTAAGAAGGTGAGGATGAAAGACTAATTGGTACATCTCTGATGCCAAGGTGGAAGAAGGGGGGAGTAGGCCCTTTATATGGGCTGAAATGGGCCAGGAAGACAGCACACTCCAAGCTCTGGGACCAGTCCTGGGGGTGCAGAGAAGCCATGGTGTGGCTCTTGGTGACCCTTTGTCTGGGAAGTGGGGAGGTGACCATCAGGAGGTGTGGTAACTCCAGGAACAAGTATTAATTACTTTATTCAGCCAGAAAATTGCACTCAGAGCCTACTTTCTAACATAAGAATGACATAGGGAGTGTCAACAAACAAGTTGGTCCTTGCTCTCATGAAGTTAATGGTCTTGCAAGGGAAACACACTTATTAAATTATCACAGGTAGATGTGCACTCTCAGAAATGAAGCTAATTCCTATGAAGGAAAGCAACACAGTGCTGGAAAAACTAGCATTCAAGAAAGGGATGTGGCCCATAGGCTCATAGGAAGTATCCCCGGCATGGGACAGGTAAGGTGAAATCAGAAGGCTTAGACTGAG